ACAGACGCGCATACACGCAACTTTCATCTCTCTCTCTCTCTCTCTCTCTCTCTCTCGAATTGGCAATATTTGAGGAAAAGGTTTAGCGATTTCTAATTATTGGGAGGACTAGCCCCCCTCAATATCTACGGTGGTTATCGTACATGAAAATATGTTGTGGCACTGCAGTCTGTAAAGATATGACGTTAGCAAATATTAGTGATTTTTTGCAAACATTTCTTTGAGTAACATGACCGTAAATATGAACTCACGATTGAATGTAACATAAAACAAATGATTACTTTAAGTTAAAATCTTTATTAATGCCAACAATGCTTACATTTATGTTTCTTTTTAGTTAGCTCGGGCAGCCATGTTGCCCCTGAAGCCGGTTTACGCTGAGATAATTCATACCCCTTCGTTTGAAGTGTGGTCCCGAAAAATCTTTGTTTGAAGGGCTGTCTGGCCCTTCCCCTACCCCTACCCCTCCAACCAAAAGAGAATCAAGACACCCCTACCCCTTCACGTGAACGCGCGAAACAGAGGGAAAGGGAAAGAGCTAAGGGGTAGAATTGGGATTGGGCCTAAAAGAAGTTATCTAGCGCGAAACATTGAGAGCCGTCGTCAAATTCTTCACAGGTCCACTTTAAAACGCCGCGAATAATCGGTGATTATTTTCTCATTTTGGAGCCTCTGTGGTTTATGGGTCATTTTAAAAGGTTTTTAATTTCCTGTCGAGTGCAGAGTGCTCAGATGTGTCCGTGTGTGCGCGAGGGATTTGTGTTTTTGTTTTTACAGCGTGCTGTGCTCAGCTCTGGGCTCGTGTGTCATGTAGGATTTTAATACGGAGCTCATTTCCTGGAGCAGCTAAGATAGAGATCAAAGCCTTTGCTTGCTCTCATTGCTAAGTGTGGGACAGTCTGGGAGGTGTGTGGGTCTGCTGCACGTTTAAACCTTGCTCCCCAATAGCTCTTGTGTCATCAGCTTTCTCTCATATTGGGCTCATATCGTTCTTTGTTTTACCTCATGTTAGTACTCTCTCTGCTCTAAATCAGGATAATTCTGTTTTGGGACTTAATGACAACCATACTGGCATGTCCGTCCTTTATAAGATGGTCTCTGGCTCAGCGCACTGACTGCAGAGCATATTTTCCTCTCATTACAGATTGTATAACTGGTTGTATTTCACATAGCAACACTGGGATGCTTTATATTTTCTATAACCTTATTATGCCAATATTCTGAATAGGGCAATGGCATGTATTAATAGTTCTGTCAGGACCACTATCGTCAATATAACTTACGATTAGCATACATTTTAGGTTGGGGGAATGGTTCTGTTCTGGGCAAACACTCCCTGGCTATCCACTCAGCCTAGCATGGATAGGAGCAGGGAGAGCAGAATACCCCTGCAATCATAATATGATAAATGTAGCAGTTACCATTAATGTTCTACGTGATCAGGGGTCTGACTCAATGATATATTCACTGCCAAGTCCTGACTGGACGAGAGGAGGAGCTGGGGATGGAGGTGGGTGATTAGTTCCTGAGCGAAGCGATAGCTGCTGAATAATGACTGAAAGGACCTTATGAAGGGAATTATGATTGGTGTCGTGATCCTATAGGTAGACGTGGATCAGCTGAGTGTCAGCTGATGCGAGCTTGACTAACATGGCCTGCCAGAACTATTGCTACGCTCCATTTGTCATGTAAACACCACAGGATCTGACTGAATGTAAACTTTGTATATAAATAAACTCAGAATTGCGAGATATTAACTCAGAATTCAGACTTTTCCCCTCTCGCAAACTCGCGAGAGTTTATATCCCACAACACATCTTACAGTTATATTTTTTTCTTGTTAGGTAATTGCTACTTGTCTCACAACGGTGATCTCACAATTTAGATTTTTTTATATATATATATACATTTTTTTTTTTTTTTGAGTTTACATCTTGTAGTTCTGTCTTTTTTTCCTGCCATGGAAAAAAAAAGTGATTTTTC